ACCAAGCCTTTTTAATTGGTAACTTTTTTAGATATTGACAACCTAACAGGATTTGAGATAGATTTTCTCACATAAATTAGGGCCAATAAATATTTTATTGCATGGATATCAAACAACTCGACAGGAATACATAAAATAATCACCCACAATTTGAGAAGTAGGCGATCTCTCCCAAACCCTACAATTCGAGAGGCAGGAAATCTCTCCCAAATGTTAAACCTCAGACTCACAATAATTATCTCATGCATACCTAATCCTAAACTTATTAGGGTCTATTTATAAGAAATAGTAATAAATTATAAAAGTCTCAATTACCCTTAGGGTAATAAAAAACTAAATTGCCCCTTAGGCACCAGTGTAATAATATTCCCCTAAAAAAAACACATTATATTCAAGGTGGAAAAAAATGATGGCGTTCCTCCCCCACAATTTTCTCTATTTTTTCATCCCCCGCCACCTCGTCACAGACTTTGAGAACATGTAATGTTCGATTTTTGCAACAGTCTCCTTGGTAATTTCTCATCACATCGAAAACTTGACCTCTTGGCTCTTTTCTCCTAAATTTATGTCTTTGTAAGGTGCTTGAGTGTCGACCTCTAGTTGTTGCCCATTTTTTGTCTTGTGAGCCTCCCTATGTATGACACGGGGCTTTAGAGGCGGGGCGCGGGGATATGGAGGCCGGCTGAACCAACTTGCTAGATGGCCAGCTAAACCAGCCAGGATAGATTTTGTTCCATCCCCTGCTGGACCGTCCGACCTTTACGGAACGGGAGATATCACACCTCCTCTCCTTGCTTTTGTTTACCGCCCTTCTCCCCTTTTCTAGTTGCCGCTCAAAGGGGGTTCCTCTTTCTATTTTATCTACTAGCTATTATATATTTGCTGTTTTGCTTGCTTAGGTTAGTTTTTGTTGAATCTGAAATTCAGAGTTTTGCCTCCGGATGCTTTTGCTTATTAGGGTTGTATTTGATAACAGGTTGTGATTCGACTGTATCCTGCTCTAAGGTAGTGACTACATCGACCTAATCTCTCACGCAATCCCCCTCCCCTGCTTGTTACCCATCCACTAGTGTTGCCTTATTGTTTCCAGTCGTCGACTACCTTTCCCCGCACTTGCCACTGTCGCAAGCCCCTCCTGCAACACCGACCAACCCTTCTCCTCCTCCTTGCTTGGTCGGTTAATCCCTCCAGCCTCTTTACCAAGCCGCCAACCCACTTCCCAGCATCCAGACATTTGTAGCCCTCCCTTACAGACCTGTTGCTGCCTCTCCCTCACCTGCCTTCCAGGGCTGCCATACCCCCCTTTCTAGCCACGATAGACACCAATCATCCTTTGCCCTGCAGTTCAGCCACCACCTAGTCCTGTTATCCTTGCCTCTGGTTTTGTTTGTGTTTGTTTGTCATTTATTTCATGTTTTAAAGGGTTTTCAATGTAACCATAGAATTTTAGTAATAATATTTTCATTTTCTATTGTGGTTTGGGTTAACTCCGGTATGACTGGACTTTCGCTATTTGAGCTTTTGGTATCATCATGGCTGTAGCAATTCGGTTTGAAGCTTCACTCATGTTGCTCTTATTAGCTCGTTCCATTGCATTATGATCTTTAACCAATTGCACTAATTCCATAATTTTTCTCATTCCTCATGGTCTCAAGAAATGAAGTGATACTTGAATCTCTGGCTTCAACCCCTTAATGAAGTTGCTTTCCAACACTTATTCTCATATCCCTCTTAAACGACCAGATAACATCTCAAATTTCTCCATATACTATATGATGGATACTTATTGGGCCAATGCAAAAAACCGTTTGTGTAAATCCCCTTCTCGCGAAGTGCTTCAACATCAGAGCTTGAATTCTTCTTATGTTCGGATTGGCTGACTTTGTTCTCTCCATTGATACGTGTTAGAGCCTTTTATTTCAAACACAGGGTTGTGGCCATCAATTTTTCTTTATTCGCCAGCCCATTAACAACAAACTTTCTCTCCACACAATAAACCTAACCATAAGTTTCCTCTACTTCAATGATTGAAATCTTCAATTTCCTTATGCGTGAGTCCTTACTTCGATTCTTTGACCGAAGTTCATTTCACCCATTAAGGGCGGGTTGGGTTCCCTTCCTCAACATATATTGATTTCTTTTCTTTCACTAGTCTGGCGTGCCCCATAATTAGATTGTCCATTCCCATAAGCTCCATAATTTTCTTCTGTCAGGAAAGTTGTTGCAACAAAAGACATTGGTGCAATTGGATGCGGCCCTCTGTCATGGTCCGACCCATCATGTTTCCTTGTTATGGGCCAAAATTCTTCAAATTGATCTTCTCTTGCCCCAAATAGACCGCCGTCCCGTTATGACTGCTGCCTTTCATTTAATCCATCTTGATGTCAGTCCATTCTTTTCAAGTGCTAACATTCGAATCCGCTTCCTATTTCTTCACTCGATCTTGCGGCTTCAGATCCACTGAGACGATGATGTTGCCCTGATTTTGCACAAGTTCTTCTGATAACTGCCGCTCATTTCCGTTCCAGACACCATCGCTCGATCCTGCTGCAAGCAACGAAGGGTTTATGTGGGACTCAACAATCTTCTTTATTATTTATTATAGGGCTCAAACTCCCCTCCATGGATGAAAAATGCTCATATATTCCATGGCAAAATTTTTCTCTTTTTGCAGTTTATCAACAACCTACAGAGTATTTGTTATTGCTCTTATGGATCATTAGATCCCAACTACTATTGAGGCTACACTAGCGGATCTGACCTGGAAAGCTGCAATAAGGGAGGTGATGAATGCCCTTCAGCGAAAACATGCATGAGACGTTGTAGATGTTCTTCGGGGTAAGAAATAAGTAGGATGCCGATGAATTTTTAGCATCAAATTCAACTTGAATGGCTTTTTTGAACGCAACAAGACATGATTGGTCGTCAAAGGATGCTCACAAAACTACAAGGTTGACTATGAGGAGACATTTGCTTCCGTAGCCAATTTAAACACATTTTCGATCTTGTTATCTCTTGCGGTGAATCTGGATTGACCCTTATTTTAGCTCGATGTCCAGAATATGTTCCTAAACGGAGATTTAATAAAGTAGGTGTACATGTCTCTTCCCCCTGACTTTGACTCTATGGCCTCTCCAGGGTAAGTGGTCAGCTGCGAAAGTCCCCTTATGGTAATCCCCACATGCTTGTTTTGGCAAGTTAACAAAGGTAGTAGTGGGTAATGGTTCTCAAGCGCAATTGGATCACTCGCTTCTTCTGGCATTCATTCAATGGCCAAATTGCTATTTTTATCGTCTATGTTGACGATATTGTGTTCACATGAAATAATCTACCAACATTGTAGTCTTTGAAGGACATTATAGCTATGTCATTTGAAATGAAGAACTTGAGATCCCTCCGATACTTTTTAGGCATGAAAGTTGCTCGGTCATCTCTGAACATTTGTCTATCTCAGCGCAAATATGTGATTGACATGTTAACAAAGAGCAATTTGCTTTTGTGCAAATTTTTTGTGCAAATTGATGGTTGTTTCAATGGATTCTAATGAAAAATTATCCAATGTTCCCAATACAGTTCCTGTTAACAAGACTTGCTACCAACTCCTTGAGAAGAAACTCATCTACTTCGCCCATACACGCCTCGACATATGTCATGGGGTTGTTATAGTAGGTCAATTAATGCATGTCCCCTATGAGCACTATCTTCATGTTGTCCACCGGATTCTCCACAATTTAAAAGATACACCGGGCTCAGGTTTGTTTTTCTCGCTCCACACATCTCGTTCTATTATTGTTTATACATATGTTGATTAGGTCGGATCAGTTCATGACCAACGATCTATCTTCAGGTACTGCTTATTTGTGTTGGAAAATCTTGTCACATGGAAAAATAAAAAATAGTATGTGGTTGCCCAGAGTAGTGTTGAAGTTGAATTTCGAACCATGTCCTTGGGGATATGTGAAGCTCTCTAGTTACGCATCATGTTTCATGAACTCCGTATGCCGACCTCTGTCCCCCTACAATTATTCTGTGATAATAAAGCTGTCATTAACATTGCCCACAACCCGGTCCAACATGAGTGTACTAAATATGTTTAGATTGACAAACACTTCAAGGAAAAACTCGAGTTCGGGAAAATTTATATTCTTTTGTGCCCTCCAGTGGCCAGCTAGCAAATATCCTCACAAAGAATATTCCTCGACCACTATTAGACAAATTCAAATCCAAGTTGAATATGATTGACATCTATGTTTCAACTTATAAGGGAGTATTAGAATGTTAAAATAATAACGGTTATCCCTAGCCGTTATTGATATGCAAGTTTTCTTTTATTTGTTTTTTATTTTATTTTCTATTCCCCTTTATTCTTTTTTTATTTTTTTTTCTATTCCCCTTTATTCTTTTTTTATTTCTTTTCTTACGAGTGCTCCTTGTAATTGGGTTTATATACCCCTATTTCTATCAACAAGATATATTGTTGTACTGCAATATTTAAACAATTTCTTCTCTAATAAGAACTACTTCTCTTCTATCTCCTTGTTTTGTGTGTTTGGGTGTGGGATTGGGAGTTTATTGCTTTTCTTTATTTATTTTGTCTACTTATTGATTTTTTTAATGGACTCTTTCAGTTTTAATTACATTTTTTTAATTATAAAATAGAGGTTTGGAGTTCACATAATGTCTATGCACCAATCTTTGCAATCCAAAACATTGCTAACTGAAAGGGCCAAAAGAGAGTTGAAATTCCTTGGTTATTTTCTCGGAGAATGCAAATCTGCTGAGGTCCTTGAAGCTTGATCTTTATCGGCACATGAAAAGATGGAGATTCAAATAATGTTCATCATCACTATATTCCTAGTACTTGCGTTAAGATTTTTAAATTTATGAGGAGATTCTGAAGCTTAAAGTACTGTTTCGCTGGTTTCTTTTCTTTTTCGTTTTACTGATAAAAAAAATTATTTTGTGTGAACTTTGAGAGATTTTCTTTAACTGCACTTCAGGCTATCTATTTATTTGGCTTTGGAGTGCCCTTGTTCATCGATGGTGTCAGTCAATTAAATAGAGTGAAATGGGGCTTGTGGATTGTTCATAAACTATTGCTCACTGCAATTTATGGCTTGATTTTGTTCGTGTACCATTCTAAATGGAGGGAGAGACTACCTGGTAACTTCGCAAACAAATTCTAACATTTTGAGAATAATGTCAAAATAGTTCCCTGATTCTTTCAGGAATCCCTTTTAATTCGGTGGTCTATAAAACTGTCAATTTAGTCCCTAGAATTTTAATTACCCAGGAGACTATTTCATCTCATATTAAGAGAGTTTTGGGATTGATTTGACAATTTTATACACTTTAGGGTAAAAATGACCCGTGTAAATAGTTATCAGGGGACTATTTCGGCCCTTTACTTTCCAACTTCTTTATGTTTTGCTTCCTTGATCGACACATTTTATGAACTTTGTTATCTTTTGCACAGCTCGACCAACATTCTACAACTACATCTGCGTCATGTTCTTGATAAACACAGTATCACTCTTCTCCTGCCTGCTTATGGAAAATGGATTTGGGTTTGGGTTCTGGTACTGCCATATGAATGCATTTTCCAAATAAGTCTTGCTATAAATGCATATGTGATTTCAAAACCTTAACCTTTGTTCTCAACAGGTTGCATGGTCTTATAACCATATGCTACCATTCATTTTATCTTCCTCTCCTCTACATGACATTCCTTGCAGATTTTTTCCAGGTTATTATTCTTCTCATCCATACATTTATTCCATACCCCCATAAAATAAATGCTTTCGTTTGTCATTCAAGTGATGTTAGTTATATTAATTAATCCTCATCTGCAGGAAGAAGATCTGAGGTTGGAGAATGTTTATTACTCAGAGATGAAAGATGCTGGTTTTTTTGATGCTGACTGGGAATAACCTTCTGGTAGAAAGAGTTTGCCTAAATCTAATTCTAACCTTCTTGTGTTCATCTCTTCGTGCTAAAGGCTTGCAGGCTCGCCAATCTCATAGATCTGTTCTATATTTTGTAATGAAATGTAGTAAAAAAGAAAAAAAGAAGAAGAAAGACCTTGTATTTTGCAAGCATATCAGTGCTGCGTACCTTAAATTATTTCGACTTGCTTCTGTTGATTCATAAGTTTATTTTCCACCTAAGCTTTTATTAAAGGTGTTAGGCATCCCATTCCACCATCCATGCTGGTCCACATGCCAATATGTTGTCTTTTCCTTAAATTGTGGATTCTGTGTTGTATATGTGTTTGTCATGTCTCAAAGCTGTACATGTTCTCATCTCTTAAAACTAGTAAAACTAAAGGTCTTTTTTCTCATCTTTTGTAGCTATTTCAATCTCTCTCTTTTTTTTCTTTCTTTTTCTCGGCCGTGAACCCTACAACCTACAATTTTTCACTTTATTTTTAATCAATGTGCCACACATTTGGGCATAACTTTTCAATGTCCTAATGCTTTCTTCTCCATAAGCTTGAGGTAACAAAGCATGGATAAAATTTATGTACTATTAAATTGGATGTTGTTTGATTTCAATTTAATTCTATTCCGGTTCTAATGTCATGATTTGATTTGGGTTCTTATAAATTGCATAATATAACTTTCTGGAATTGAATCTAAAACTTTAATAAGACTCAGAAAACTTTTATGTATTTTTAATAGTTTTGTTCTGAATCTGTAACTATACGTTTGCATTTTGTTCAGGGCTGAAAATGTAGACATGTATCGTTTTGTTATGTGAGCAAATTTTGTTCAGGGCCCATTGGGTTGCTTGAGGCTTATAATTAAGTTTTAAAAAGTGGCATAGCTTCTCAAATATAATATTTGCTTGGTTGAAATAAGTTGGGAAGCACAATCTAAATTGCAATTATATGCCAAAGTAAAAAATCTAATTGTCCGAAACAAAATTTAAAATTTAGCTGAAAGATTTATAAAACTATTGATGAGAATCTAAGTTAACATTAAATCTCTACCTTTTACTTCTAATTAAAAAAAAAATAACGCCAATATTAGAAATAAAGCCTGAATGTTAATAATTTAGAACAAAGAAGTGGTATTTTTTAGAAATACTTTAGAATTATGTGGTATGTATGTAAATTTTTAAAATAAAATAGTGTAAATTTAGCGTCAAATAGAGATTTGTTTATTCACCGAAATCAGAAGAAAAAGGGCAGCAAAAAAAGGATTGTCGGCTGAGCAGCACATGCACCAAATTAAATAAAGCAAAAGAAAAGGATAACTTTTTTTATTCATTAAAATTAGTATAAATTAATGCTAAGAAAAAAAAAGTTGTGACTTGTAATTTGAGCTTTATATTTATATGAATTTCTCCTTTACTTTAAATAATAATAATAGTAGTAATGCGCCCATAAAAGTTCCAAGTCAGTGTAAGCATTACTTTAATTTTCTATCTGTTCTATAAAGATCAGAGCAGGATTTTATAATATAAAATTGGAATTAGGATATTCAATCTCAATTTTTATAAGAATATTTTTTCTAACTATAATAATATATAATTTTGATTAATGCACATTTTAAGTAAATTTAATAAATCTAAAAGTGTATTTTAGTGAAATTTATCTCAGAATATCCAAGGTTAGTTTTTCTCCTAATAAAATAACTAAGAGAAATTGTCTGGGATTATAAGAGCAGATAACCGGCAAAGTTCTGTAAGAGAGGAGTTCACTACAGAGTTGAGCGGAATTCAATGTTCTTGGTTCAGCATCGCCATGACAAGTTCAGTAATAGAATCTGTAATGGTATTTGTACTGTTAGTGCTCACCATGACTGGAGGTTCAGGTCAGCTTATTTCTATTTGTTCCTTTCTTTTTTTAAGAAAAAATATATTTTTTTTTTCTTTTCAACGTCTACATACATATCTTACAAATCTTGTTTCAAGTGCCTCCCTTGCCTTAATTTCTTCACTTCATAGCCCTTAAGTTTTCATAATCTGCCAAAAAATGGTCCAGACTGCTCTGATCTAAACCCAAAAGTCTTTGTGATTTCTGTGAGTTTTGTCTTACGAACTTAAATAAGCTTTAATTTATGCTTGGTGGAAGATGGTGCATGGTGCGTATGCAGGCAAGATGTGAGCGATTCAACCTTGCAGAAAACAATAGATTATGCTTGTGGAGCTGGTGCTGACTGTAGCCCTATAAATCAGAATGGAGCTTGCTTTAATCCCAATACTGTGAAATCACACTGCTCTTTTGCTGTTAATAGCTATTATCAGAGAAAAGGGCAGGCTCAGCAGGCTTGTAACTTTGCAGGCACTGCTGCTCTCACTCAACAAGACCCAAGTTAGTTTTCTCAATTTCCTTTTACTTCTTCTTCTGAAGAAAAAATAAAGGAGCTTTTTTTAAAAAAATTAGTTTTGGTTTGCAGGTTCAATTGGCTGTACTTTCCCTGCATCGAGGTATTTTTGTAGTCTTTTTATATATTCTTTTAATATTTGGTGTTAAAATATAAATTTTGTTTTGTAGGAGGAATTTCAGAAAAAACTAGGAGATCTAAGGGGCTGTTTAGACTACAAGAAAGATTTAGTAAACCTTGGAGGCATTAAATGCTAAAAATTATTTGATTTAATAGATATTAAATCTAGCAAAATCTGAATAAATTACTTGGTAGAAATTTTCAATAATTTTAGGATTTAAACAAAGGAGAAGAAGAAATGCTTTGTGGTGAAGTGTAGAATCTTTCAATATCTACTTCTGCAGAAATTTTTAAATTCAGACTAAACTGAGATTTAAGAGGATAGTAAGATTAATTTTGACTCAATAAGTGCCTTAACAATATTTAATCTAAATTCAACAGCCCCTTAGATATCTACTTGTCTCCATTATTACAATACAAGTTTATGCTATAGAAATACTAATTTTTCTCATTTCGTTTAAACAATTCTCTAAACTGGAATCCAGTGGTGCTGGCATAAGCATTGGCAACAACAATGGAGCTGGAATGGGAGCAGGAAATGGCGTGAGCCCAGTCGCCGGTTCCGGTTCCAGTGCTGGAACAGGAACGGGAACCGGCGGCACCGGAACCGGAACCGGAACCGGTGGCACTGGAACGTTTCCAACACCCATTGGCACCATCCCAGGCTCGGTATCTCCGAGCACTATGAACTCAACAAGTTCAGGAGTTGGAGGAGTAATGGGAGGTGAAGGCCCTTCTGGAAATGTCATCTCTACTGATAGCAGCAATGGTAGCTTCATTTCGGTAGCAGAATTGAGTGCTTTAGTTGTTTTAATCTTCTCAGTAGTAGTTATGTTAACAGTTTAATTTCCTTGCTTTGATAATTGGCTTAGACTATTGCTCCAATGTTGTGACACTACTGGTGTAAATTAAAGAGGGAGGATTATATATATATATATATGGGGGAAATTTAGCTTGATCTGCATAGCGATGTTGCTGCTATTAGTTTGCTTTCTCTATAAAAATAATGTGATATTAGTTTATTTAATTAATGACACTTATAAAGACTGAATAACACTGAGATGGTGAGGTAGATATGGTCATAAATTTAAAAATAGGATTTTGCAAATACTTATATTCTTTGAGGGTTAAATTCTAAGTATTTTATTGGTAAGATCTATATATGTGTTTGTGTGAAATTCAGTTTAAGCCCTAATTTGTTGTCCGGTTATTTATTTCAAGATATAAGAATTCAGTTGATTTTGGCATCTTATTATATTTAATCGTTTATTTTAGTTACATAAACACATTTTTAATGTCAGAAGTCTTAAATCTAGTATGATGGAGAAGAAAAGTGATCCCAAGATAAAAAGAACGATCTTGATTTGGAACCATTATTTAAATATGATTCAATCCAACATCTCTTTAATTTTGAATGCATGTGTACATCATATGCTTATGTAGATATGCCTCATTTATTGAGGAAACATTCCACTAATTTCTATCTTTTAAGTATTTCTATTGTTATATTTGTATAAGCTCTCTCTAATGTCGTTCTAGTCGTATGAGTATGTTTATATTACATGAATTTAAAATCACAAAGGAACTAATCTTGATCATGAAATTTGAATATTTATCGAGGATTGCTTTAAACATAGTTTTACATCAAATTGGTTGAATCGTGGATTTCGAACAAGTGTTCAATTTTTAGTTTAATAAAAATCAAACACGAAATATGATGTTCAAAGATTACTCATTTTTTGAATAAATAATTCTCTTGCCACATTTTTTTTCTTTTAGAACCACAAACCAATAATTGGACTCAACTATATATAATTAAAAAAGAAGAAAAATTGTGTTAGGATAGCCTTATAAAAATGGTATCCTAGCACATGTCTAAAAATCCTTGGATGTAGCCTAAGGTTAATGTTGCATATGAAGAACTTGTGTAGTAGCAATGTTAAAAGCAAGTGGAACGATTTTGAAGTCCATCATGATATAATTTTAATTTCTAAGAAAATATAAACGCCAATCACCATTTGTTTGACAAAGCTCCTTATGACTTTTTGTGGTGGAGGATGATTCAAAGGCGAAGAAAGATGTTGTTCAGAAGATGATACTTTTAAATGACATATTCCACTAAATATTTGAATTATTTATAAATCATTAAAAATCTGGTTTGAAAATGTTGAAATTTAGAATAACGCAAAATTCAAAATTATTTCATTGATGTGAACAGGGGTATAAATGACCCTTACAAGAATCCTATAATAAGAAAAATAATAAAAATAAATAACATAAAAATGAAAGATATATAACCAAATATCTCCATGAAATAACATAATTATTTGGAGATAAATGAAATAACATAAAATAGAAAAACCTAAAATCGAAAAAGAATTAGCTCAAAATCTAAAAAAATAAAAATAAAATAGGAAATGAAATAGCTCATTAATACAAGAAAATAAATTATTCTTCATAATTTCTCACAAAAATAAATTATTTCTTAGTATAACTCTTAGCACTGCCCTCAAGTTGAAACATTGTTGAAAACCACGTTCAACTAGAATTTGAAAACATCAAACGATGGGCGAGGAAGATCCTGTGAAGTGGAACTTGAAGTCTTCATCCTGTACTGCGGTTGTCTTTGGCTGCAGTTACTGTAGTGTTTGTAGATAGGCGGAAGGTTCCTACAGATAATGTTGAAAGGGTTTTGCAGGTAAGTAGGCAGTAGTGGTTACAGTTTTAGCAGTGTCTATAGGTAGAAGAAAAACTCCTACTAGTACTGATGCAAAGAATTTGCAGGGAAGTAGACAAATTTGATTGTCTTTTACTGCAGTTACTGCAGCGTCTGAAAGCTCTTACATGTAATGATGCAGAGGAGTTTGCACGGAAATAGACAATTGTGATTGTCTTTTAACTGCAGTTTCTGCAGTGCCTATATGAAGACTCAAAATTCAGGTTTGACTGAATTTTAAGTTTTGTCTGTCATGTGTTTCAAGACAGAAGAAACCTTTAGAAAATCGATAAAAGGGAAGCAACGACATTTAGGGTGAAAAATGATGATAGCTAGTGAAACTGAAGGTTATAGATTCTCTGGAGGTCGACATAATCGAAGCTCCCGATTCAGGAAGGGTCGGCCAGCGGGCAAAGCTTGCAAGGAGAGAAGAAGAAAAAATCGTTGTTTCAAATGCCAAAATGAGTGCCCCTCCCTTCCCGTACAAAGGATGCCAGGAAGGGAGTATGACAATTCTCAAAGGAAGACCGGTAGCTAGATGACAAAATTAGACTCGCATACCATGTTGAAAATTTGGAATAATGCGGAATTCAGAATTATTTCACTAATATGAATGAGGGTATAAATAACCCTTATAAGAATCCTATAATATGAAAAATAATAAAAATAAATAACATGAAAATGTAAGATATATCACCAAATATCTCCTATAATCAAATCATATTAATTATTTGAAGATAAATGAAATAATATAAAATAGAAAAAGCTAAAATAGAAAAGGAATTAGCTCATAATCTAAGGAAATAAATATAAAATAAGAAATGAAATAACTTATTAATACAAAAAAAAAAAATTATTCTTCATAGTTTCTCAAAAAAATAAATTATTTCCTAGTATAACTCTTAACAGAAAGTGTCATGTTATGTCTAATTTAACTACAAAATCACTTTCAAGTATTTTTTTCCAAGAAAAATAATAAAAATAAAGAAAATATTTGATCAATTAATTATATTGTGAGGAAGGTAAAGTCGAAATCTATATATAGTCAAACTAATTATTGGTGTAATCAATTTATTTTAGCAAATAAAATGTGGGTGCATGTTACCTCCTAAATCATGTCCTCCTACTAGTACTGATGCAAAGAATTTGCAGGGAAGTAGACAAATTTGATTGTCTTTTACTGCAGTTCCTGCAGCGTCTGAAAGCTCTTACATGTAATGATGCAGAGGAGTTTCAACGGAAATAGACAATTGTGATTGTCTTTTAACTGCAGTTTCTACAGTGCCTATATGAAGACTCAAAATTCAGGTTTGGCTGAATTTTAAGTTTTGTCTGTCATGTGTTTCAAGACAGAAACCTTTACAAAATCGATAAAGGGGAAGCAACGACATTTAGGGTGAAAAATGGTGATAGCTAGTGAAACCGAAGGCTATAGATTCTCTGGAGGTCGAAAGAATCAAAGCTCCCGATTTAGGAAGGGTCTGCCAGCGGGCAAAGCTTACAAGGAGAGAAGAAGAAAAAATCGTTGTTTCAAATACCAAAATGAGTGCCCCTCCCTTCCCGTACAAAGGATGCCAGGAAGGGAGTATGACAATTCTCAAAGGAAGACCGGTAGCTAGATGACAAAATTAGACTCGCATACCATGTTGAAAGCTCTCATACCATGTTGAAAATTCAGAATAATGCAGAATTCAGAATTATTTCATTAATATGAACGAGGGTATAAAGAACCCTTATAAGAATCCTATAATATAAAAAATAATAAAAATAAATAACATGAACTAGTAAGATATATCACCAAATATCTCCAATAATCAAACCATATTAATTATTTGAAGATAAAGAAAATAACATAAAATAGAAAAACCTAAAATAGAAAAAGAATTAGCTCAAAATCTAAGGAAATAAAAATAAAATGGGAAATGAAATAACTCATTAATACAAGAAAATAAATTATTCTTCATAATTTCTCACAAAAATAAATTATTTCTTAGTATAACTCTTAGCACTACTCTTAAGTTGAACATTGTTGAAAAGCACGTTCAACTTGAATTTGAAAACATCAAACGATGGGTGAGGAAGATCCTGTGAAGTAGAACTTGAAGTCTTCATCATGTACTGCGGTTGTCTTTGGCTGCAGTTACTATAGTGTTTGTAGATAGGCGGAAGGTTCCTACAGATAATACTGAAGGGGTTTTGAAGGTAAGTAGACAGTAGTTGTTACAGTTTCTGCAGTGTCTATAGGTAGAAGAAAAACTCCTACTAGTACTGATGCAAAGAATTTGCAGGGAAGTAGACAAATTTGATTGTCTTTTACTGCAGTTCCTGCAGCGTCTGAAAGCTCTTACATGTAATGATGCAGAGGAGTTTGCACGGAAATAGACAATTGTGATTGTCTTTTAACTGCAGTTTCTGTAGTGCCTATATGAAGACTCAAAATTCAGGTTTGGCTGAATTTTGAGTTTTGTCTGTCATGTGTTTCAAGACAGAAACCTTTAGAAAATCGATAAAGGGAAAACAACAACATTTAGGGTGAAAAATGATGATAGCTAGTGAAACCGAAGGCTATAGATTTTCTGGAGGTCGACAAAATCGAAGCTTCCGATTCAGGAAGGGTCGGCGAGCGGGCAAAGCTTGCAAAGAGAGAAGAAAAAAAAATCGTTGTTTCAAATGCCAAAATGAGTGCCCCTCCCTTCCCGTACAAAGGATGCCAGGAAGGGAGTATGACAATTCTCAAAGGAAGACCGGTAGCTAGATGACGAAATTAGACTCTCATACCATGTTGAAAATTCATAATAATGCAGAATTCAGAATTATTTCACTAATATGAACGAGGGTATAAATAACCCTTATAAGAATCCTATAATATAAAAAATAATAAAAATAAATAACATGAAAATGTAAGATATATCACCAAATATCTCCTATAATCAAATCATATTAATTATTTGAAGATAAATGAAATAATATAAAATAGAAAAAGCTAAAATAGAAAAGGAATTAGCTCATAATCTAAGGAAATAAATATAAAATAAGAAATGAAATAACTTATTAATACAAAAAAAAAAAATTATTCTTCATAGTTTCTCAAAAAAATAAATTATTTCCTAGTATAACTCTTAACAGAAAGTGTCATGTTATGTCTAATTTAACTACAAAATCACTTTCAAGTATTTTTTTCCAAGAAAAATAATAAAAATAAAGAAAATATTTGATCAATTAATTATATTGTGAGGAAGGTAAAGTCGAAATCTATATATAGTCAAACTAATTATTGGTGTAATCAATTTATTTTAGCAAATAAAATTTGGGGGCATTTTACCTCCTAAATCATGTCTTCAGATATCTAACACCAAAAATTTATTTTTTATATTTATACCATCAAAATCTGTCATTTCACATAAAAAAACATCACCATGTTAATTTTTTTTTTTTTTAATTTCATGCATTAATTTCATGCATCAGATAAAGTAGTGGTGTATATGTAAGAAATAAAATGTAGGTGTTAGATATATAAATAAATAGGAATGAAGTGGCATGTGTGTTAATCTTTATCAAAATAGGGATAATTACAAACAAATGAAAATTTGATTTGTAAATTACAAGCTACGGTGGTTGGTATGTAAGTGCCCCTCTGCATGTTCGCAAAACCAGCGCCTTCGGGAACGAACTGAACCTTCCCGATACAGTCGCCATTAGAGCTGAGCTTGCTAAGAAGGCAACGACGGGATCGCGGCTTGCAGAAACCACCCAAGCTCCATCTTTCTCAGCCTTCCGTTCCTCTCCTATCAGTAAGCCTGTTCGCGCCATTCTTCCTCTTCGCTCGTTCCGGATCTGCTATATCCGCCGATTCACACGATTCAGTAAATCCCGAATTTGTCTCGAATCTGCCTCATTTTGAAATTTACAGGAGCTCAGGACTCGCGAAGGTGGTTTTTTCCGTTTAGCAGGATAAATCCTGCTTAAAACCGGCTACCAAACAGCCCCTTGGGAGTTCGTGAGACGCGCGGATCGTTAATTCCTTCCTATCCCCGGATTTTTATTAAACCCGGGATTCAAGGTAAAGCGCGAGAATCGTTATTGTCTGGTTGTTGTTTAAGTTTTGCTACTCATTGTTCTAGTCGAATTCCTCATCTCCCATCGCTTTTTTATCTTACAAGGGAACGATCGGACCTTAGATCGGGATCATTCTATCTCAATTGAATGCTCATTATAATATTCGTTATTGTTAGATTTATCACCGTGTTAACCGGTTTGCAGTTCTTCTTCATATAGTTGTTTTTTGCTTTCATTTTTTTTTAAAGATTAAGAGCATGATTAGTTTATCTTTTGAAATTACACTGCAAAAATGATTATGATTGATGTCCATGTTGGAAACATTTGTGTCCAGTTTAAAAAAAAAAAAAAAATCGTTTCTCCTTGAATGAAACAATTCAGATAATGTGAGGTTATTAATATTAATTTAGTAACAAATCAAGCGCGTCAATGCTGATTCTGACTTGATTACAGGCAGCTGCAGTTGATGGCTCGGGTTTTTAACATATCTATAAATCCTTCTCGTCTTTCCATTGATCACCGTGCCTTGAAAATCCCTCAATCGTTCTTCAAGAAATTTCCAGAAAGTTTCTTCAGACTCTCTTTTGGAGCAAGAAGATCTTACATACCTCTCACAATAATGGCAACCTCACTACAATCTAAGTTCTCCAAGTCTGCAAACTACATCCCTGACACTCAACCTGCTAAAGGTAATTTGTAGAAACGGTTTATTGCCTACTCGTTTAGTAAGTTAAAAATAAAAGTAAATGCATTTTTTTTTTACTTCTTATTTTTTGGTTACTATGCCCTTGTTTTTGGTAGAGGTGCTAGAGATCTGGCGCAGTGCTGATGCAGTTTGCTTTGATGTTGATAGTACTGTCTGCTTGCATGAGGGAATCGATGAACTTGCTGATTTTTGTGGTGCTGGGAAAGCTGTTTCTGAGTGGACTACCAAGTTAAACCCTTCTTCATTGTCTTTTGCTACAGAGATTTGATTTCAGAAGTTTTGATTGCTGTATTATGGTCTTCTTTAGGGCAATGAGTGGGTCTGTTCCATTTGAGGAGGCCCTTGCAGCCAGACTATCTTTATTCAGCCCTTCTCTTTCACAACTCCAGTGTTTTCTCGATGAGAGGCCTCCACGGTATTTTTTCTTTTCTCTTGCTTTCACATTACAATTTAATTGATTGTTCTATTTTTAAGACTGGTGCACATTTTAATAAATGTAAAGAAGAATTTTTGTCATATTTCCTTTTATGATATTCCTGGTTAACGGGATTTTAACAAGTATCATATATTTTATGCTTTTTCTCCCATTGCAGCATATTAATTGGGATAAACTTGTTATAATTTAGTTTGGCTATCAAATTTTTAGTTGCATGATAATACCGTTTCTTTTAATTCATATATTTTAGCACTTTGCATGCATGAGCCAATTGCTGTTTCTATGGAAAATAGGCATATTGGTGCCACTGTTACATTCAAGGTTTTAACATATGTTTTTACTCGTGTTTCTACATGTCTGAGATATGCTAATAGTCACTCCTTAATCTGCAGGTTATCGCCCGGCATTGCAGAATTGATCAACAAGCTGAAAACTTCTAATATTGATGTTTATTTGATATCTGGAGGATTTCGTCAAATGATCAAAGTACATTACTCAGCTCTTATATCGTTAGTTCTATGTTATCGAACTTAATGCTACTTGTAACATGAACATGAAGACATTGTCATAGAGGGTACATAGACTCGTGTTATTGACTAGAATTTTAAGATATGATTCACTAATTAACATTATTTTATTTATTTATTATCACAGAGGGTAAATAGACTCGTGTTATTGACTAGAATTCTAAGATATGATTAACTATTGAACATTTATTTATTTTCTTTTTCTTTTGTGAAGCCTGTTGCGGTGCAGCTTGAAATTCCACTAGAAAACATCTTTGCCAATCAGTTACTTTTTGGGAGTTCCGGCGAGTTCCTTGGTTTTGACCCAACCGAGTTTACGTCTAGGAGTGGTGGAAAGGCTGTTGCTGTGCAGCATATAAGAAAGGTCTTGGAGCATGATTCTAATCGATCTACATTTATTTTTATTAGATGTTAATTATTCATAATGTACAGCTTGACTGTGTTGGCTATCGCAGGTCCATGGATACAAGTCTCTAATAATGATTGGTGATGGAGCAACTGATCTTGAGGTAATGAAAATCCTTTTCATGATTGGTCTCCTGGTTCATTGTTTACTTTCAAGGATTCTAATGTTGTATTTTTGGCTTACAATGATAAAATGCATGAAATTTACTTGGTGATGTTAGAAATTAATTTATTTGATTGTTCGCATAATCTATTTTCCTATCATTGAGACCAAAGTGAATGAGGACATGATGATGTAGAGTTTATTTTTGTTAGTTTTTGTCAGAAATTAAAGCCAACATCTTGGACTGACATTTTTGAGCGTGAGCTGTGACTTGGGTGACAGTTCATTCGTTATCTCCAATATCGGAGGACAATAGAAATTTCTGCACTGTCCTTTTTTTATTGTGTTGCTATGGTGACCAACTTGACCCCACATATCTTTTCTAGGCTCATATGGAAATGATTATAAAAATGATGAAATAATTGAATAAAAACTTGTTTTTCTCCAGCTGTTTGGTTGAAAAGAAATAAAGTGAAAAAATGTTTTCCCTTTTATGTTTTGTTGAGTAGAACTTGCTTTTTGATTCCATGAGGAGGAATGTGGTGATTACCCAATAAAAGTCCCTTTTTGTTTTTCAATGGGGTTAGATAGGGAATTGTAAATGAAGATGTGATTCATTCACATTTTCTGAAATTAAAATGCTTTTACATTTCTCATCTTTTTTTATGAGATTTATTTGTTATATTGTTGTTTTGTTCTTGTCATCTAGTTCATCTGGTTATTTTAATTCAGTGAATATGTGTGTGTGTGTGTGTGTGTGTGTGTGTCTCTGTATGTATGTGTGTGTATGTATGTATGTATTGAAGTTACATTTTTAACCAATTTTACTAACAACAACAAGCCATCTAACGAAGCCTTTGATGTAGTTAAAAATATGGAATCAGCTTTTAGTAGTAACATTTATTGTGGAAATTGTTGCATGTCATATAAATTTCGTACAGCTGTCTACCAATGTTGCACCATGCACACAATCAACAGAGAAATGGCATTAGCTTGCACTGAAGGAAATCACGACTAGAGAAGACTTTGAAACTCATGTTTGTAGCATTGTTTTATAAATGGTTTGCTTTTTAGCCTCCTCAACTAATGGACCTCTTGGGATTAAGGTATGGAGAAAAATTCCAAAATAATCCCTTAACTTTTTGTAGGGGGTCATTTTAGTCCCAAAGTTTCTAAAAGTGTCAATTTAGTATCTAGACTCTTTTAATTTGGGTTAAAATTGTCCCCACAGAGGACTATTTGAGCACCAATTTAAAAAGTTTGAGAACTAATTTAGTACTTTTATAGACTTTGGACTAAATTGGCCCCATGAAAAAGACAAGGGATTATTTTTTGCACTTTGTTTTGAAAGTACATGTATCCACTTCACTTGAAGACACTTTTACTATTGAAATGAGTTCTAAGTGGAGTCCTCTTTTGATATCAGAGTTAACCCAAACCACAATAAAACTATAAATATTATTCCTGAAATTCAAAAGGTTACAACAGGACTCTTCAAAACAGTAAATAAATGACAAAGGTGCTAGGTGGTGGTTGGATTGTAGATGGAGGAGTTGGTTTGATGTTATGGTACAGTGGAGGGCTGGAACAGTTGGTTTTAAGGGTGTCAATTCGGATTAATGGGTTAGGTTTGGGTTTGACCCGAAAATGACTCGACTCGAATAATAAACTTGTTGAAAACTAATGCCCGAACTTGAGCTTGATCTGCTAACCAGATCCCGACCTGAAATTTTATGCTTATTCGGGTCATGTTTAGGTTTTGGGATTCAAACCAAACCCGACCTGAATAATAAAGTTGTCGAATTGTCCGATCTGAACTCAACTCAAAAAATATTTGAGTCAACTTTAACCCGAATTTTTTTAGTTGAGTTCGAGTCGTCAGGTCAATTTTTGACACCCCTAGCTGGTCGGCAGCCCTGGAAGGCAGAAGTCGACAGCCTTGGAAGACAGAAGTCGACAGCCCTGGAAGGCAGAATCGAGAACCGGCACCCTGGAAGGAAGAAACAATAGCTGATAGCGGCAGCAAGGCAAGGGGGAGGATGACAACGCCTGGCTGGAAGGCTGGAGGATAGGTGAGCGGATAGGTGTTGCAGCAGCAGGTTGGGTTGTTGTTTGGGTTTCCACAACAACATCGAAGGGGGTTTAGGGCTGGCGATAGGAAAATAGGGGAAGCGAATGTGTGTAGGTGGAAGAGCAATGAGTGGCAGGGGTGGAGGATGGGGAGGTCGAGGATAATTACCACCTTGGAGCTAGATACAGCCGGAGCATCATTCGTCCTCGGATACATTCCTGGAAATGGAAAAGGGACACTGATTGCTGTTCTGAAATAAATCTGAAATAAAACTCACACAACATAACCCTAATTCAACAAACACACACATAAATATGAGGAGGGAATAGGTGGGAAACTAAAAAGGAAAGGGGGTTACGGGGGCATCTCCCGCCCCATAAAGGAGCTGGCCAATCCGGTCCAGTGGAGACATTCAGCCAGCCTTCTTGCCGGCCGGTTCAAGTGGCCTACTCAAGAGCCCTGTGTCACCTTTGTTTGAAATATTAGCTAACATCTTCGACATGAATATATATAAGGTCATGATGATTGTTTCTAATGGTGCTCTGTAATATGTTTACCTAGTGATGTCTTCAAGAGAAGGCTAGATTTAACTTCAATGGTTTGGTCTGCTTAGATGCTTATGCCTTGAGTTAGTGGTAAAAGCTTAGGGGTTTATATGCTTGCAATTGGGGCGACTCTAAGAATCAAAGTGACTTTATTAGGTTTTCTTGATAAACTTCAAGAGATCTATTTTTCACATTGAAGAATTTGTGAATCATCTGCTCAAAATTAAGATTTTGTTCATGGTCATTGAACTTTATCAGTTAGTCTCCGCGCCTTGCCATGCTCTTAGTTGGGCTTAGTAACTTCTAGATCCAACTCGCGCTCAGAACCTGGGATCGCTCAAATGATTTAATCGACTTTATTTGACCTGATTACCAACCCCTTAACATTGGATGCAACGGGTTCTATTTATAAGCTTGGAAGCTTCTATGCTTTTATTGAGTCAAATGGGGGCTTGAGTCGGCTATGGTGGCTAGAGTTTTGGGACGTGTCTGTTAGGTTGTTGACATGTGTGAAAAAAACAGTGTAGACCAGCAATTAACTTGGGGTAAGTCAACTGAGGCTGCTGAACACTTGCAGGATGAAACAATAATGTCATTAAAAGATGCATGAAAATAGTTTAGGGTACCAATTTTTTCAGCTAGAGGAAGAATGACGAGTCAGTATGATCATACTCATTTTTTAAAAAAAGCTTTTTGGTCAGTATCAGGAGCTTTTTAAGTTTCCAACACGGAAGCACTGCTTGGTCATGAATGACATTGAAAGTATTGACAACTTCATTCTACAAAAGTGTAATTAATGAGGTCGATAGTAATACTTTGTCGGAGTGATGTTGGAGGAAGCTGCCAATTGCCCTTGTTCGAACCCGGAAATGATTATCCATGGCAAGCTATTGAAGCAATCATTTGTAGATACTAGCTTTGATTGGCATCTTTATCATGTTTATGCTAAGTTTTTCTGATGACGGTCAAATTTGACTGCCAAATTGTGATAGCTTATGGCATCCAATTGCTCGCATTATGATTTACTTAATCTAGGAAACCCTGAGGGTGCAAATCAGTGACTCCTCAGAGTAGAGGACGAGACTGCCTATTTTTAGAGCAAGGAAGCACCAGGTTATCTTCATTCAAGGGTTTTTAAACTTATTAGTCGGACGAGATTGTTAAGTGATGTGTGTGTGAGCAGAGAGAGTCATGCTCTTACGCCTATTAGTCAAGGTTGGGCCATAAATTTAATTAGCTGAGAAATGAAATTAATACTTTTTGTACGTGTTTTTACTTTTAAGAAGATTGCTGTGCTTGATTCAATTACATGAGCCTGCAAGATTTGGCCTTAGCTATAATAGAAGAGGAACTTCCTGAAAATTTAATTATATTTGCCTGCACTTGGAAAAATTTTATGTGATTAGGGATTATTTCTGAATTTTTTGAGATTCTTTCAGTTTTTTGATTGAACTGCAATAAACTATGATGTGCTGAGAGGCCATGTTTAAACTTGCTGTATTTAGAGTTATTTTTAATAATTGCATAAGATGCTTGGGCGGCTTTTTGAGTTGATGCATTGTGTTTAATAGTTATTGCTTCTGTTTGATATTGTGATGAAATATATAAATAAATGCCGCACAATTCTTATATATTTTATATGTTTAACACTTAGAAGTTTGATACTTTTCACTTAATAATGGCGTGTTATGCAAATAATAATTGTGTGATATGTAAATATATAATTATGAAAATATCTCCAACATACTTTTACTTGTTGGTTGGAACACAGGCTCGAATGCCCGGCGGTGCTGATTTGTTTATCTGTTATGGAGGGGTCCTGCTTCGAGAAGCTGTTGCAGCTAAAGCTGATTGGGTGGTCCTTAGTTTTGAAGACCTTTTGACTGCATTGAAATAGATTTGCATCACTCGCACTGCTGTGCTGTTCTATTGCTATGCTTTCTCCATCTTGTCAATATTTCCTTTTTATGGACAATAAAATTCGTGTAATGAATAAATATTTGCCTTCTGTTTTTGGGCTATTCGAAACAAATAAAATACGTTTAATTTGCATGCTCTCTTCAATCTTTATTCATAGTATAAGCCTAGGCCTAGGCTGAGTTCTTGAATTCTTATATTTTTTTGTTTATTCTTTTTAAATATTTGCTGTACGACATATTAAATATAGTTTTTATGGTTTTATTTTCGCTAAATATCAATGTTGAATTCTGCCCCACCCTTTAAAATAAACTTTTTGGTAGTTATGGATGATAAAAAAAGGCTATTCATAAATTTTCTTAATTAGGTATATATTATAGACTTATATTGGCTTTCACTTGTGTAGATTTTAATTTAAATTATTGCTACTTTAGATTTCAAATTAAAGTATTACTAATTTTGATTGTAATGAAGAGTATGCTATATATGTATATATTATATTTGCAATACTAAAGACTAGATGGTTTCTCCCAAATGGATCTAACTAAAAAAATGAAATTGAGATCCACAAGTAGGTTTGTAAATACATTAAACAATTTTTAAATCAATAGAATATATTGTATTCTCCTAAAGTGCAAAAATATTCACTATTATATAAATGAGTCTCAGAGTGTATAAAACTGTTAAATTAATCCATATATGTATTCTTTTAAACAAATTATTTATTAAACAATAATTTAAAATTTATTAATAGATAAGTAGTTAATTATTTGTCATACTAATTCATAATTATTTAGAATTTTATTAAATAAATCAGATTTTCATATATAATTTATTAAAATAATTAATTAACTGATAATAATTACACATTGGGTTCGTGTAATTATAAATAATTTGATAATATATTAACTAGTTATTAGTTATCAAAATATTTAACTAATAAAAATTAGCTTAAATAAAATTATATTAAAACCATAAAGCCGTCCATCACTCTCTTCTCCTTCCTCCCCCCACTCTTGAGTCTTGCCCCCGAAACCCTCGCCAAGTTCCCTACCCTTTCCACCCTCGAGCTACAGTAGCGATTTGAGAGCTACCTGGGAAGGCAACGAAGGAATCGCAGCGTACAAAGAGCACCGAAACTCACATCTTTTTCTTCATCCTGCTTCGCTCCTGCGCGAAACCATTGAGGAAGGTGAGGATTTACTGCTTTAAATTCTTTGCCGGACAGCCCCTTAACTTGTAAGACAACGAGCGGTAACACGAGCCGTAGCTCTCCATTACAGCATCGCTGTTTTCGTTGGTTGTCATTTGTCGAACCCCTGCTACTCCGCTCTAATCTTCACTTTACTGTCTTCTCCCGCGCTTTTCTTTTCCACAATCTTTTCTTGGTGGCTCGGCACCTCTCTCTAAATTCCTTATCTTTCCCGAGCTCTAGGTATTGCATTCTCCCCCAAGCCGCGAGATTTGTGGCGAAACGCCGCTGTGAACTTTCTCGCCTCGCCACGTTTGCTGCCAATCAATTCTTGCGTAGCTCGAGCTTTACGCTGTCTTCCTTTAGCTCCGGGTATCGAAGCTCTCATTCTCCCCCAAGCTCGCGAGATTACTTGCGAAGTGCCGCTGCAACCAGGTATCTGGAAAACCCTTCTTGCCTCGCTATGTTCGCTGCCATCGCTTGCGTACTCATCTGGTCTCGCCGAGCTTCGTTATCTCGCTCGCCGAAGCCCTAGGTCACTGGCATGCTTTAACTTCTATCTTGCCAAACAGTTTTGAGGGTTTAACTACCTTAGGATTTACTTAAATCACGCTAACCGTTAAAGTTGTTTTTTATGTGCCGAATCCAACTTCCATATATGCAATGTGAATGAGTCACTGGACACAGCTTTATTTGATGCTTTTCTGTAAAAAAACATCTGCTTTGTTGTGAAAGAAATGTCAATAAATTATAATATTTAGTTCTATCTATTAGTATTTCAATTTGTAGAACATTTATATTTTAATAAAGTTAGAGAACAAATATTCACTTGTAGTAAAATACTATGGCCCAGCTTCATTGTAGTTAGAAATAAGAGTTGATCAGGATATTTCTCTCTAATGGGGACAGAAATTAACTTAATTGTGGGCAACTGTGACTTAGGACATCACCTGAAAATGATGCATTATAACTTAACCCATAAGATGAAAAGTGAATTGAGATTGACTGGGTATCAGATAATAATAGCTTATTACATGAAATTGAAGGACTTTGATTGAGAAGATTTGGGGGACATATAATGAAGCTATGAGAAAGAGCGATGAAACATATTGTGAAAAATTACATCGATATTAGAGAACTAAATTTATTTTATGTTGAGGAGATAAGTTATTGAGGCAAATTTTTTCAAGACTTCTAATGTAAAAGTTAAGAGAGGAGGGAAATGATTATCATCATATGATTTTTTTACCTTGGCGATGTAGATGATTGCATATCAAATGAAACAATTTGACACGTCTTAAAAATATATATATATGATTCAAATTTTTGTTGATGTTATTGAAGATATATATATATATATATATATATATATAT